TGGCGGCTCCCCGCTTATGCAAATGAAGCCCGGGAAATTCAAATCCCGGGCTTCATTTGCAAGTGTGGTATGCCTACCTTACCCCGCTAGTGCGAACTAGCAGGGTAGTGTAGACATACCCTCACAGACACTAACCTTTTCCCCCTTCCCCCTCCGCCCCCATTTTTAAATCTGATTTTTCAATTTTATATGTGTTCACTTTTTTTTTATTGTATCACTTTGGTATATATGATCATGCCAATTTTCTTCCACAAATTGATCTGAGGAAGTGGGTCTGGCCCACGAAAGCTCATCGCCTAATAAATCATCTTGATAATCTTTAAAGTGCTGCATAGTCCTGTCTTTTGTTTCAGCTAGACCAGACTAGCACGGCTGCATCTCTATCACATTTCTAAACATTCACTGTCAACAGAGAAGGTGATGTTAAAATCAATTTGTTTTATGGTTCACTACACCCAGTTAAATGTTTGGGCACTCTCTTTTCCAGCCTACATGAGACCAGGTGGTGACATTCTGTTCTGGTGGCAGTACTATGTTGGCATGGGAAGGGGTATGATTATTCCCACCTTTATAGATCCCTGGTAAGAATGCATGTGATTCAGTAGCACTGAGTCAGGTATAAGAACTCTGCAGATATTCTGTATCTTGCAGATATTCTGTATCTTGACCCTGGGTCAAGGAAGATCTTTTACTAACCATATTGAAAGGCTGCTTTTGATCTTGGGACCAGGATTTGACCCAAATACATAACCAATAAGCAATTTCCATTTGTATCAGTTTAGTTAGCTTATTTACACTGCTCCTTCCTGACTACTCTCTCCTTCCGAGCTTATCTTTTTGTTAATTTACATTGCTAATTGAAAATGTTAGATTGATATCACAATTAGTTGAGTCCTTATAATATGCTTGTATATCATGGAGATGACCAGGGTATAAATACCTAGTCCAGGAATAAATTAAATGTACAAGTTGAACCTCTCTAGTTCAGTAACTTTGGGACCAGAGCAGTGCCAAAACAGAGAATTTGCTGAACCACAGGAGGTCAATATTGTCTAGCAGCATTGCCAGCACTTCCACTAATTACTGTGCTCTTAGCAAACATTCAGGGGTAAATTAGAGCTAAATAACATCACAGAACACTGATAGGCAGGCCTCGGGCTGTAGACAAACTTTATAGTACCACAGGAAACTTGGCTACATTCATAAGCGGTTAATTAAACTCATGCCGTACCACAGATGTTGCCAGATCAAAGAGTGCTGGATTACAGAGGTTCAACCTGTAGTAGCAAAGTATTTCCTCACATTTTCCTTATAAATGCGTTAGATGGCAACACCCTATGGATGATTTTTTTTAAATAAGACTTCATTGATTCCTTTAAAATTTATTGAGAGGGAAATTTTGCCTTCCCATTTCAAAACCCTCTGATGACCTCATGGTAAAGTGGTCACTGGATTTTACAACCCCCGTTTTCCTTCTGTAATATTGCTTGTTTTCAAATACTATATATAATGTTGGAAGCATATTGTCTCCTTGAGTATGAGTAATTCCAGCTAGCATTAATAGTAGTTATGTTTACCAACGAGCAAATGTATATCTCAGATTAGAATTACATATTACTCCTCACGCAGACTTAGTTTGTGACAGAAGTCACTTGTCAGCAAGTGATTATTTTTTAGGACTCTGATTTTTCTAGACTGAAGGATAAATTAAAATATTTTAAATATTGAGCTACTATTTTAAATCATAATGCACTTCTGAGATCTGATGCTGTTCTTAATTAAGGGCTTTTTATAAGTGCTGTATGAATGAAACATTAAAACTTTGTTAATTTGCATCTTTATTCTTTTCTTAAAGACAAATAAAACATTTGTCCATTTTTTCATATTTGCTTCTAAAGAACAAGGAATTTCTTAACAAAATAGCTCTTATACATTGAAAATTCTTTCTAAAAAAATTATTTTTTAGAAATTGCGTTGAGTGTTAACATATTGCAAGTGTGAAACTACTTTTGATACCGCATTATCTGCACAGTGAGTCATCTTTGAGACCTGATCCTGAATTCACCTGCTTCCATTTATATTGGTACCCTCTAGTTATACAGCATGAGTAACAATAAACACAGTATAATAAATTATCTGCTGCCCTATTATTTATACATCAGAAAATAAATTGTAAACCTCTTCCATTTGTTCTGGTAGTATTTTACTCACTTTGAACAAGTGTAAATGATTACACAAAGTACGTAACAGTAAGGGTAGGATCTGCTAAATAAACTAGATACATCTAGACAAGCCCTTATGTATTTCAAAGTAGGTTTTTTAAAAGATTTCTGGTGCCACATATTGGAAATTGTGTGAGTCATTTACATTCTAAAAGCTAGGTCTTTAATGACTAGCCAACAGTAAATATTATAATCCACACAATTTTCCTTTTGTTATGTTGTTTGCATTTGAAATGCAATGTGTTGTATAGCTGCCCCCATTGCTAACCTATGACTGCATCACAGAAGTTGTCACAGGCTAAACTAGGTCTGAATGCTGTATGATTCTGCTATAAAAGGCAATGCCTGATCTTTGAAGTTCTCACCTGTTCTTCTCTTAGGAATATGGACTCAAAAGTGGACCTGTTACTACTTCTGATCCTTGTCACATGTAACTGTACTCACATGAGCAATGCTATTTGTCTCTGTGGCACTATTCCTGAATTAAGTTACTTGGGTTCCTGTGTATATGTAGAACTGGCCTGTGGACAGCTTCCTTTCACAACTACCCCTCAGATAAAATCCACACACAATATTAAGTAAGATGATGAAATAATATAAAAAAGTTCAACTCAAGTTTCCTCCCCAGGCTCCGCAGCTTCTTAGGTTTCCACTTCAGAACTGCCCCTGTTTACACCCTACA